AAAAAAGTGCAAAAAATAATTCAACCATTGCATCCCTGGTGGGGATCGAACCCACGACCTTTGGATTAGAAGTCCAACGCGCTATCCTCTGCGCTACAGGGACTGTTAAAATAGTAGTTGAAAAAACACKTTGTTGATGTACAAAATTAGTTATATTAATATTCATCATTTCATCAATTAACAAATTAATATTAAGATTGAATAAATAATATGTTCAAATAAAGAAAACGTTCATTAACACGAGGAAATTCAAACATTACTACTATATCGACGACATACTGATACCGGTATATTGACCGACAAATATAACATACACTTTTTTATAGTCAAATTAAATTAAATTAAATTCCTAATTATTAAAGTTTATTTTTATATTATTATCATGTTATTGCTTCAACATTTTATCTTCATATTATATAGATTAAAGATACTATATTATGAACCTTCCATGTATTTCTTATACCAAAAAAAAAAAAACACAAACGAGTGAACGAGTGAACGACTTCGTTTTTTACACACTAATGTAAATGAAATATTGAAATATGAATTTTATATAATGTTACGCATACGTATATGCGTATTTGACTAATTCATATTTTTTATGGTTAAAAACTGTTAAATTTTAGAAATCACTGATATTCGAAATCGCTTATTTTTACAAAATAGGAATTTAATTTATATATATATATATATATAAATTAAATTCCTAAAATATATATATATAATAATTTTTTTTTTATTAAATTAAAGTGTTTCTGACATGCAAGGTCATCTAATTTATTGATATAATAAAGAATTTTTAAAATCATTAAGTTGTTAAGCGTAAATTAATTACAATATATATATATATATATATAAATAATACATATTAATATATAGTATATTTTAAAAAAAATTTGTAAAAAATTTGTATAATATATTTCCTAGGAAATATAACAAAATAACAAATATATATTTTTGTTTTCATCAAACTGTAATTAATGGAAAAAATGTAATCGGCAAAATTGTTTTCTAAAATATAAACGTAAAATGTACATTATTCCACATTTTAAATAAATTTAGTATATATAAATTGTAAAAAGTGATCACGAAGCATCCCTGGTGGGGATCGAACCCACGACCTTTGGATTAGAAGTCCAACGCGCTATCCTCTGCGCTACAGGGACTGTTGCACGCAATCCAGAAAACTGTGTTTTTCATTCAAAATTCTATCTAATGCCTATAAATTGGTACCAAACCGTCTAAACCTATATTTGGGAGGTATACCTATATAATATTATTTATACTTTAATAAACTAAATTATATATAGCGCATTAATCACATGAAACCATGTTTGATGTAATCAACAATCAAGCTATAAAATATAAATACCTGTTAAGTATCATAAATAAAGATAATTATGTATGAATGTTGTATGCAAATGAATAAGAAGGTAATCTTCAACTCTATACGAAATGCAGATAGCGGATCTTTTAATGGATCTAAGAAATATCGGGCATTTGTTTTAACTTAAAAAAATATAATAATATCAATAAAATCATCCGAGATGTTCTAGATAAAATTCTTGGCTTTAAATTTTAAATCAATTGMGCCAGACTGCCAGAGCATAGAAAATTTAATACAAGATTCCTGACAACTTTGTCAATCTTTATCAATAAAAATGTCCACCAGAAATTTAAATAAAATTTTTAAGAGCGTTTGAAATTTAAATTTTTACAACATCGGATTTTCACTAGATTTCTTATTTAGCAATTTTCTTATTTTGGTGTAATTCTAAAACAAATGACCGCAGATACTTGAAATTTTCACTGAATGTTTATATAGACATATTCTATATTTGATAAAATTTTCAAAATATTTAGATTTGTTTTGAGCTGTTTACTGACATTTTAATTTTTCAACTTTTTAGTTTTTTTTTTTCTATAAATATCAATATAAAACATTATTTGTTGGATAGAAAAACTTGAAAATTTAATTCAAGACACCTGACATATTGTTACAATAGCAGTTACAAAAAATAAAAGTACATAGGCAAGATTTTTTTTTATATAAGCATTTAAAGTTTAAATTTTAATTAAATACGTAAAAATTACGGCAATGTTCAAATTATCTAAGATAGAAATTCATAAAAGTTTTTCTTTTTAAATCTAAGATTTGAAAATTTTTAATTATCTATAATATTATATCCTAGACAGATAAATCGTTTCCGCTCAGAATCGTTTTTCGTATACAATGATAATATATAGTATCATTGGATTCAAATTTAATTCCATCCATTACTGTAACCCACTTGTAACCTATTATACAGCAGAGCGATATCCACAACTTACCCGCTTTTATTAATCTGTAAATGTTTGTAAAAATTAAAATACCTATTTTATAGATTTTATTTTGCTGAAAATTTTGACCTTTCAACATTTTACTGTCATTAATCACATGATTTTTAAAACTGTTTTTTATCTGGGCCCGCCGCCCACACTCGCCAGTCCTCCTCAAAGGCTAATGGGTATACCCATATATACATATATCCTCACTCCTCACAGGCAGTGCTGGCCCAAGATACGTGCGAACCGGGCGGTTGCCCGGGGCGCATTTAATATACGAATATTTTATAAATTATAGCGTAATATTTATTCAAATTGACAATAATATAGCTAAATGACTAAATTATCTATGACGGAATATTCAGTTATATATATATTTTTTTTATAGATTTTACACCACTTTCCAGTTTTTATCATTATATTACAAATAATTAAATAATAATATACAATGATATAATATAATCATTATCTCGGGAAAACCAAAAAATTATGTGTTACAGCCGATACGTCTATAAATTGTATCCAAATAAGTTTGGCCGTCCTTTACCTATTCATAAATATAAGAATTTCAAACAAAATATGTAGGTAAGTATAAGAAGTATTAAATGTATTATGGAGCATTTGATTAGGGGCGCCTTTCAAAAAATTGCCCGGGGCGTCAACATACCTTGGGTCGGCCCTGTTCGGCAGCTCACAGGACACCCAGTATATTCACCGAACAGTAAAATAAATAAATAAAAACAGTAGTCAGTAAACTGGTTTATGGGTCTATTCTTATAATACATACCTTTAATTTTCAAAAATATATTATTAGCACAATATAAAGAATAAGTACTATAGAGTAAAGTAATATACGTCATATAGCATGCTTGAAGCTTGTAGGTAGCGCTCGTAACTATATAGTCGATTATATTTATTTGGCTTTCATTATTTTTGCTCGACTGAACAGACAATAACTACAGCGGCATCTAGCGTGGTCATTTTAAACTTTCCATCGAGAGCCAGAAGAAATGATAACTTTTATCACTAGATGATGCTGTAAACATTTTATTTTTTTTAGCTTTGAGTTTTTAATTCCGTGTAGCCATGTAGGTAATGCAGGATGTAGGTATATAAAATATATATTATAAATAAAATATTAATTTGGTTCATTAAATAAAATAAAATGAACCAATAATATAAACTTAAATTATTCAAATACATTTGACGAACAATTACATCTGGTAGCTTTCAAGTCTCAACAATATTATCTTGAAATTAAAACAAATTGATACATTTTTCCTATACACACCTACTCACAATAACCAAGTTGCATAAAGCTTAGAAAATCAAAATACAATATTTTAATTACAAAAATCACAAACAGATAAATGTTTGAATATTCCCTTATTCTTTTGGTCACTAAGTCCAACCCAGATGATAACTCCCTTATACACATAAATATAGAAGACCAACTGGAGTTTTCAATATATAAATATATAATAATACATAACTACCTGCACAAATTTATTTCAATGTGTTTGAAAATAACCAATATATTGTAATTTGTAATCCATAATATGTTATATATGTTTGTTGTAGTCAATGTCCATGGGCCGCATACATTTTTCTAAATAAAAAAAATTATTAAATTAGTCATAGCAATTTAAATGTTAAATCCCATTTTTTTTTTTTGAACAATCAGACATCTTGATTGTACCTCGTATTTGTTGTATTGGCATACAAGGATGATTTTTTAAATTGATGATTCTAATATTTTGATTAGGTAGTTTTAGTTTTCATTAAATTAATTTCTTCTTGAAATGTGATTTCGCTTAATAGTGTAAACATATTTGTACGTGATCTTGTATTTTTCACATTTCATAATGTGTATAAATCGAAATTGATTATTTATAATAATATATTATATAATAAATGCTGATATTGACGTTCTCATGTTTTGCAAACCAGTAAATCTTATTAAAGCTTTATTGCTTTATTGATATATTGTCATTTTGAAATACACCAAATTGAATCTCCAAAAAAATTAAATTTTTTTTATTTCATAGAATGAAATATTTCAATCAATTCTATATTTTACTTAGGCGTTAGCATTTTTGATGAACAATAGTCATCTCACATTGATTTAAAGCATACTATATTTTGTATTTTGAAAGTTTATGAAATGTACACCTATAAATTTGTTACAATAAATAAGTTAATTTATTGTAAAATATAAATAATAAATATGGCAAACTACAAAAATTAAAAATTAAACAATATACAATTAAGTAAAATATATAAGTAACAAAAAATAAATACCAGAATGGATCAATAATTCAAGTATTAACTATAAAATTTAAGTAATGAAACAATTAAAACCTTTCATTGATATGATGTAAAAAAAAAATATTTAACAAATTCACTTCTATGGATACAAAAATGAATAACAACACAATATAAAATATAACTACAATCAATTATATCATTTAAAAATTACATGTTATAAACTAACATAAACCATTATTACTTTTTTATGATCAATAACAAAACACTTAAGCTCAATACATCACAGATTTTTATAAATTGACAATATTGGTTCATTTTAATTGGTTTATAATAGAAATATAGTAGAATAAAAATATATGGAATTCAAAGCGTGAAATAAAAGCTAAGAGATAATCATTGTTTAAATTTTAATCTTCTAAACTATTAATAAGTGACACATTAGAAGATTGTGTGGATTTCATATCTGGATCATCACTTTCCATAAGCTCATTAATTTTATCAACTATCCACTAAAAATAAATGAATAAATACTAATTAGGTACAATAATAAATAAACATTATATTTAATTATGAATACATACAGAACATAGTTCAGGATCTGATATCAAAATAAATTTAACATTTGACTGCTTAACTTTGAAACACMACCATCGATGTAAATTGTTATTATGTTTTCCATAAAGTGATATTCCATTTTGTTTTATTTTTGGATGTCTAGTCATAGCAGACCAAACATACTCCCATTGAATCTAATTGAAATAACATATTAAATGTACATTTTGAAAAATATAAGAAAATTGTATAAAAAATACTTTATATGAGCCAGTCCAGTAACTCCGAGTAATATACATTACTCTTTGTGACGTGACAATGAAAATTTCTTTATCAGTAGGCATAGTTTGTATGTGATAAATATAGTTATCTGATAGTTTATACACCCCTTTTCCAGCGATCTGTAACATTTTATCTTGTAAACTCGAGTATAATATAAACATTTTAACTTGCTTACCATAAATTTTTTAATAACTTACGGGAACCTTAGTTTGATTACGCATCAAAACTCTGACAATATTAATTAGATACTAAATTTTTTTTTATAAACATAGTACAAATAAAATGCAAATTACTTCAGGAGACGGAAAAAGATCAAAAACTAACATACATGTTTTTTTCAATAACATTTTATTAAAAAACAATTTTTTTTCTATTCTAAAATTATTTGAAATATAAATACTTTGTTAGGTTAGGTTAACACATTAAATGATAATACAGTTCAAAAAGTGTTCTTTTAATATATATTATGAAATATTTACAAGTTGTTTCATTTAAATGTAATTTGTCAATACAATTTGTTGCATTTCAATGAATTAATGTAAGCAAAAGATGAAGAGTAAGCAAAAAGTGATAAGAAATTCAGAAGTAAAGAAGAAGAATATAGGTACACATATACTTATCTCAATTATTGTGTATAAAATAAATCTAACAATACTATTTTTTTTATCACCGTTTACTTACTCTCCCTAAGGTAATAAACAATCATAAATTTAATTTAAAAATATATAAATATTTACTGTTCAAATATAATTAAAAACATTAGATTGGTTCACCTTTAAAAGTTTATATCCTTCTGCTTCTCGTTTATTGTATGGTCGCACTTGTTTATCTTCTCTGAAAAACCTTGGTAAACGAACACGTTGCACTTCTGATGTTGTATCAGTAACCCTGATTAAAGATATTTTAATATATTATAGTTTCAATTCAATAATTAGTTAAATTGTTTTATGATATTAAGCTTGATATTTTGATACTTGGGTTCTGTAATTTTGGTTACTTGTAATTTATTTAAATACTTCTGCAGTTTTGCAATAAACAACATTAATGAGAAAAATGAGACATGTGGTTTTGCTTCAAAATTTAATTTTATGGATTGAACCTAACTCATTCTTAATACTAGGATAATAAATGGTTAATTATTGTGATGTATATATGTTTAATTTAATTATTTAAACCATATCTTTAATGTTATCCTCCAAATCTTCTACTTATAGATTCAATGGAAATTTACCATAATTATTCTTTTTCTTAAACCATTGTTTCCCATCATAAAATAATTTCTATACAATCACATATTTCCAAAAATTTTGAATCCCTAATTCCAAATGCGACCAAATGTTCAACCAACCATAAACTCTATTCTTGCGGAAGAACAGCATAATTTTTACCCAAAATAATCTACTATTACATGTAATCTTGTATTCTTTATTTCTTAAACTATGTCTAATGATACTAGTATGTATAGTCTAAATTAATTTAAAAAAATCTTTTGACTCAGTCAATCAAGAAGTACTGTATAAACTATAAATGTTTAAAGCATCTGGTTTTAGCCATCAATTTTGTTTTGGTTTAGATCCTTTTTAAATAACAGGTATCAAAGGGTTAAAGTTTTTGTTGTTAAGTCAAATTATTTCTAGCGACTCTGTTATTCCTCAAGGGAGTCATCTGTCATTGTTCTCATTATTTTACTAACAGATCCCATTGGACTACACCACTGTCGTTTTCTTTGTTTTGCTGTCGACTTAAACTCATTTTTGCATGTAAGCACACCTGATGACAAAACTTCAATCTGATTTGAATTATTTTTCTACTTAGTTCAATACTTTAATTTTATCACTAAATATCGATTAATTCAAAATTATGATCTTCACTAAAACCCGCTTTCCCCTAATGACTTTAATGGCTTTTTTAATGGTTCTGGTATTGCTCATGCTATGGACTGATTCATTTTTTGTAGCTTCAAGTAAAATCTTAACCCAACTGCTCACTCGATTATGTTTCAACGTTTATTAACTCTTATAACTCTTGCTCTTGTCATGCAGTTTGTAAAGAACTTTCATCTAAATCAAAAACACTTCTGTCTTCTATATCGAACATGAGCTTATAAGATGTTTAATGTGATTACAAATGCTGATCCTACCTTTAATGATTTAATATTTTATGAGTTATTGACTATTGTAGTTAGTATATATTTTCATTGATAGCTATTTTTGATTTTATAATGACTTCTGTTATCACATATGTATAATTGTGCATGTTAAAAAGGGCCCAGCCTATATGATTCACCAATAAAACCTATAGATAACCCCTTCTCATGCACATCTATTAGTTTATTACAATTCTTCTTAAAACCCCTAAAAAATGTATATTAAATAGAATCTATCCAATCAACAAACAAAAGAAACTAATTAAAAAAATTAAACTGATTTAAGTTAACTTAATTTTGGATTAAAGAATGCCATTCAACTAATTATTAAATACACCAAATAGCTAATACAATTTAGTTTCTTAGAAAAAAAAACTACAACACAATAATATTTCTATATATTGCACTAGGTTTTGATTGTCTGACACCTGGGCCTTCTTTTAAAATTAAAGTCATATCTATTCCATCTTTTTGTATTACCTACTCATTTTTCAAATCATACTTAACCAAAACGCTACTTCTCGGTTAGATCAGGAATAGAACACTTCAATATTACTCCAATATTAGCCAAAGGTTTTCTGTCAAATAAAAATTAATGAAAGCAAATCCGTTCACACTACCTTTGCACTATGACACAGTCAACCTKTATTAGTAAATATAAATAACAAACTCATATCTAACAGAGACACCTAGACCTGATTTGCAACAAACATCTGGCATGGGCTAAACATATTCACGCAACTAAATTAGCATACAACTAATTTCTCAGACCAATTTTTGTAAGTTCCTTTTTAATTCTAAAATAAAATATAGCATCACAAATAAATCTATTTAAAAACTTCAAAAGAAAAAAATATTAAAGAGTTAATCAACATTCCAAAGTACCTAATTATTCAAATATTAAATATTATTTTATTGATTCTTATAATTAAAATTGTCTTTTTATATTAAAGGGATTGCAAGCTTCAAAAATATTACATTAAAACTACCTAAGCAACCAAAAAAAAGAAAAATAAAAAAAAAAATACTTATAATGGTTCATTCAATATTAAAAATGTAAAGATTTTTGAATCAGTAAACAAGTTTAGTTTGCATAGGTCAAAGCATATTTATAATATTTTTTTAATATATTATAAATAAAAATTAACTAATTCATAAAATTTAAAATGTCAAAATGTTACTAAAATAGAAAAAGTGCTTTAACTGATGCAAAGTAAAATTGTCTTAACTAATGGCCTTTGCAATCAATGTTTTTTTGTGATCAATAATAAAAAAAAATTGTTTATGTATTCAAACATCTTAAAATTTTTAAAATCAAACAAAATTTTTGTTAGGTATATAGCAAATTCATACTCATCAATCAGTTTTGAGTATTTTGATATAATGACTAAATTACATGTGCATGCAGATGCGTAATATGTATGATGTAGGTGGTTAATGGGTAGTATACACACACTAATGATAATTTACTACACACACACTTATACAACTCGAAACGTTAACACCTATAATATTGTCTATATTGAACCTATTAAAAATTATAAGTTTGCAATCCCCTTAACTATACACTTGCATGATGTTTTGTCTTTGTATTACAAACATACAAACGCACATTTTATGTTCAAAACAATCAATCTAATTAATTGATCTATAATAGAATATAAATGTAAGATTATTATGTTGGGTGACGTGACGTCAAACATAATAACCAAGGCTTTTATCAATATTTTAATTTTGAAGCAAGCTATAGTTGTTTTAAAATAATATACAAAAAAAGTATAGTTTTGAAATGCTCAAAATTTGCTTTAATTAAAATATAAATAAATACCTAAGAGATTTTTTACATAATAATCTAACTTTTAAAATGTATAATAGATCAGTTTTCTCTTATTTTAAAAATAACAGTAAAATATCTTCATAAGTAGTAAACATTATGCAATTTATACAAACCGTTTTATGGTGTTCAATGTTCCACTAGTAAAATCTAATGCTCCAGATAAAGGTCTAGCGACAAGGCCAACCATTCCTTTACAACCTCCTTTAAAAAATCCTTTAATTCCATCACTACGAGCACCACTGATAGGTTTCTCGAAGACACCTTCCACACCTTCGACAACACCCTATATTAAATTTAAACCAATACTTAAGACAATAATTATATTATTTATTAATTTATTATTATACACAAAAGCAATAAAAATAATAAATTACCAAAACAAAACCTCGGCCCCCTTGAGCTAATCCAGCTGGTATATTACTCGGTTGCTGATTCATTATTTCTTGCCGTTTTTTTTGATAATCTTTGTCAAATGTTAAAGCAGCAATACCTTTCCCTTTTATATTAAAATATAAGTATACATATAAAAATTGTTAAAAACAATTTAAGATTTTTAAATTACCCATAGCCCCAGTTATTCTTCCAACTGCTCCTGCTGCACCTCCAACTGTATGTCCAAATAAACTCTTTACTCCCAATACTAAACCTTCAGCAAATTCTTCAGGGCCTTGAATTGCACCCTACATTAATTAAATAAGTTAAATTTACCAAAATAATATTTTAAATCTACTTATTAGCATCATCATCATTGTTTAATATTCCATTAACTAGATTTTATAGCAGCTAAGAAAATGAACCCAGCAAGCAAATCATAACAAATTTGTATTCAACTAAACAAACTTTGTATTGTTAACTTTAATAATTGAGAGGATGTATACATTAGTTTTTTTAAAATATATTTCAATTTTTATGGAAAATACTGGATGTAAAATATTCATACATCGAAGAGAATTTAAAATACAGTAAAAAAAAAATAATAGAAATACGGAAAGTCTTTTTAACTATAGGTTTGTTTCTACTAAATGCAAATTTGCTATGATACAGTATTTAAAAAATCTATAAATATCTATAAGTTAGATAACTTTGTAAGAAAACTTAAAAAAATTGATATTTAAGTTGAATATACTTGGAAAGGCTCATAAAACAAATCTTCAACTCCTTGCTTAAAGCCTGATACCAAACCAAACGGATTTCCCAACACATCAAGACCCAAGACAAGTACATAAAGTTGTTTTATTAGTTGACTGACATAATGATGTTGAGCTTCCATCATTAACTGTCGCTGATTAAGCAAAACATACTGTCTTTCAAAAAATGCCAACCTATAACACAATATTATAAATTTATAGAAATTAAATTTTACATCTATTATCTACCATGTTTGAACATATTCAACAGTTTTTTTTTTAATAAAATATATAACGTGACATGTTTATGTATTATAACACTTACTTTAAAACAACATCTTGAACACTAGTTATGGTAACACCAATACTTTGCAAGATAATACTAATAATTGGAGGAATATTTTCTAATTCATCTCCAGTTAATGAAAATGTAACATGTATCTAAATTTAACAAAAAAGAAATGAGTTAAAATTAAATTTACATGAAATAGAATATTTGTGAAATAGTTACATACTGATTGATAAAATAATAAATGGTTTTAAATTACAAACCTTAAGTGGTGAAAAATGAAGCATATCATAATAATTTTTTTGTTCTTGTAAAGAGAGGGTTATCATTTGAGATTGCAATGGCTTGCTGGCATATGTTAAATCTTCATTGAACATAGTTAACTAAAAGAAATATTAGTTTTTATTTGTTATATAATTTCTACTATTAAAAAATCTATTAAGCAAACCCTTTCTTCTTCAGAGAGTTCATATTTTTCAGTCATTTTTATGATAGCATTGATAAAACCAATATCAAGTTTAATATGAAATTCTTGAATAAGCAATTTATAATATTTATATTGTTTAACTGAACTATATTTATTCAATCGTTCGACAATGCTAAGCTCCACAAATGGTTTTCGTTCTAAAACATGAATTTATTAGTTAGTTAGATTTAAAATTTTATTTATACAAGTTAATCCAAAACAAGTTAATTTTGAGTACAACATTGGTTTATAATAATTTGAAATCATAAATTATCCATACATGACTATATGTTGAAATTACTTTTAAGTATATAGATTAAGTAAGTTAAATAACTTAAATATAAGTAAAAAAAATTTTGTCTTTCAAGTGGCTGAGTGAAAGTACCGCATTATTATTGTTATCTTAAAAACGCTATTGAAAATCATACAGAAATATGAACAATCGATAATATTGATAATAATAATAATAATAATAGTTAATAAATATTGATTCAATAAAGTTCACAATAAAAATGTACAATGTACATTATAAATGTAGAGTTTCTTTTTCAAAGATTTATCAAATAATATTATGAATTAATTTCATTTTTTATATTATTTAAAATAAAACTTACAGCCACTTACAACCTTATAGACCCCCGAGTAAACCTAACCTAACCTATGACTTATATCTTTATGTTTAATGATTGGTCATTAACTAAGCATTATCTGTTGAAGTGAATACAATTAAATAACTTATCAAATTTAAGTTTTTTATAGGCTTTTCTTTTAAGCATGTACAGATTTTGAAAAAACTAACAAAAAGAATTATACTATATAGCATTTAAAAATACACCTTATAACCAAAATCAAAAAAAAAATCCATGATAAATTGTATGAAATTTTTTTTTTTATGAATATGAAGACGTACCCGTTTGTGCAATTGTTTTTGGTGGTGGTACTGGAGCAAATACAACAGGAAAAATACAATTGTCTATTTGACTATCAATTTGCAAGTTATTTATTTTAGCATGTATCTGAGATGTATAATCAGATGACTGCAAATTAAGCCAAAATCCAGTATTGTAAATTCGTCTAATATTTTTTTTAGAAGGTTTTGTAACAATATTTTCAGCAAAATTCACCTAAAAATATCAATTTATACAAATATTTTTAATTTCATAATATAATTTATCTAAAATTTACCTCAATATTTAATTCTTTAATGAAGACAATAGGTTCATTTTCACCAATTGCTAACATTCGAGTATAGCGTATATAAGATGTTTCAATCAATTCACATTCTTTTTGTGTCATTGGTGTGTAACGAGAACCATTTAATTTTTTTGTTTCCCATATTACTCCAGAACTATAATAAAAACCATATTTAAAACAATTGAAATTCTAAAATTTACATTTATATTTATTACATAAATATGAACAAATAATAACAAATTATGGCAAAAATAAACTGTATATTTTTCAGTAAGTATAATGTTTACTGTTCATCATTATAAACCTACAAATCCAATGCTGTTAACAAAATGCAAATAATAATTGAATCAAAAAAATACTTATTATTAAAATATAAACTCATAATTTTTACCTTCCAATTCTCAGGTACATCAATTCCATACAAATATCATTATTCACCAATGATAAGCCCAACGAATGTATAGAAATTAGTATTTCTCTATTTATTATTTCAAGTTTGCTCGAAGCTTGACATTCTTCGGCAATACTAGCATCAGTAGTAAACATAAGAATACGTTGTATACCATCTAAAAACGAAATCCAATACACTTTAATGCCATCGTCATGATTGAATGTCCCTACACCATCCTGGAAAAATATAAACAAAATATCTGATTAAAATACCTAATCAAAAGTAACATTGTTTTTGTTTGTTTTAACCGACAGCAAAGGAATCAAAAGTAACTTGAAACATAGAACTCTGTGCTTACTGTCTCAATAACTAATATTTAATTTTTCTGTTGTGTTCTATGTTGAATATATATAAATAGATTTTAAGGGAAATTCTAACTAAAAATTTAAAATAATAAACTTAGTTTTGTAGTTTATCTGTAGGTAATATCAATATCAGAATGACTGTTTTTGAATCATAAAAAAATAGTATATATGAGGTACTTTGACACATTTAACTGTCATTATCGGTAAAAATAATAGAAAATTATATTCATGACCACTAATATGTATTAAACATTAAATAAATATTAAACTTTTACTAACCTTTCTTAAATCCGCTTGATTCTGCATCATATTCCAATAAATGATAGGGTTATCTGTTGGAGTAGTCCATGCAAAGAACATTTTATGTCTAGGGGGTAATATTTTTCTGTAAAAAATATATGAGGTTAAAAAATGCTCAATATAACACTAAAACTTATAAGCAATAAGTACAGCTAACATTTCATCTAAATATTCTGATAAATCGTGTTCAATAAACTTGAGGTAACTTTCTGTGTGATTTATAATTAAAGCAGGTGCCATCCCCTCCATGTATGGACTAAATGTTATATAAGTTCCACCTTCTGTCATCTGAATATCCACTTGAACAGCACTATACTATAAATATATTTTTAATATTAGAAATCTAAATACTATTTAAATTAAGAGGACGCTTAACCCACATCTGTTTTCTCCCCCTTACATATGTATGACATAGAATAAATGTATTTACGCAGTCTGAGTAAGACTCACTCAATTTTGGTTCTAAATTATAAGTACCTATTAAAAAATTGAATAGTGATAATATTTTTGAGAGCAAGACAGTGCATTGTAATCATGATATTTAATATATTGTTTAGAAATATTGAAAAATTTAACATTTAAAAGACATTTAACTTTTTAAAATATAAATATTTTTCTTTTTTTTAAACKCAGTCTTGCCCTCAAAAATATTATCACAATACAATTTGGTAATAGGTATTTTTATTCTAGAACCAAAATTGAACGAGTCTTAATCAGATTGCATAAATCCGTTTAGTCTATGTTGCAGTGTTGCACATATKCAAGACGGAGAAAACACATACAGGTGTGGCGTCCTCTTAGTAAAACTATTATTATATTTATTATTATTTGTTATTATTTAATATTTTTCTATAATAACAACTAAAAATATCTACTAAAACAAACGTTTTGATCAGTAAAACAATTTTTAATAATTTACTTTATTTCGGAGCCGTATTAAATCACTTCTTGATTTATAATATGGTAATGGTGTAGAAGCATCTAATGTACCAGTTATACGAAAAATAAATATTTTGTCTAAATTCAGTTTATCAGTAATATTTTGAGGCCAAAATGGCATACAACTATTTGGATCCACCTATTTAAATAAATTGCACAAATTATAATATTTAAAAGAATAAATATTAATTTTTAGTATACTTTAATCCAACTTTGTTGCAACTTATTCATTTCTTGAATGTCTATAGCAAATGGACATTGATTATATGTGATGTAAAATGGAGTAAATGTAACTTGTTTTGTTAAAGAATTGTTAGTTAGTTGGATATGTACACCCATCTGAAAAAAAAAAATACTTAGAAATAATATTCATAGTGATCAACGTATTACAAAAATATTACTTGATATAGAATGTTATTTGATTTACACATAATTGATCCAGAGTTTCCAGCCACATCCAAAGAAAATTTATCAGACCATTGACCTGATTCAATTTTAACAAAAGCTTTTTTATTCGCAAAAAATATCTTTTTTTTAAACGACCACATTAAAGGTTCTGTAGGATTTGAAGAATGTTGTAACATGTTTGCCTCATCATCAACAGCCTGTAAATAATAAAAGAGACAAAATTAGTTTTCTAAGAATACACATTTAATTAAAAATAAAATACTAAAATACAATTTTGATCCAATACCTTATAAGTAAGAATTTTTCCAGTCTTGTTGATCATCCAAAATGGACAATAAAGTGTTTTGATATGTGTTCCTCCTTCGTGAAATTCTGTTCGAACGCCAAAATGTATAATATTTGTATTTGTATCGGGTTTATCTTCATTATTTAAGAATGACCAAATGGAAAATTCATCTGGATGTTCTTCAACTGTACATTTGCAATCCCAATATTTATCTAAATATTTTATCTATAAAAATAAATCATTTTTTTGGATCAAAAATAAATAAAACATAAAACTAAGATCTTCAAATTTATGTTTTATACTAATATAAAAATTTATATGATATTTTGAAAATTTAATGATTAATTCTTTACATCTTTCTTTTATTATCATTCAATCATTAATTAATTTAAACTCAGATTTTTAGGAATATTAAGTCAAGTTAAAGAGCATAATTTTAAACATTTAGATTTATGTCATTTAAGGAGTATTATGTGCAGGGACGGATTGGAATTTTGGACCGGCCCGGGAAAATAACTTTTTAGCGGCCCCATGTTTAGATGGTAAACTAATATGTATATTTATAATTATATCAATTCGATACTACTTATTACAATATTATAAATAATCTAAATATAAAATAAAAACATTTTTATTGTTCAGACTACAGTTCCATGCCGACTTGCATTGTTAAAATTCGTCGTCGTTACCCGCAGACAGGCGACAAAACAAAGACGGAATATCAGATTATTTRTAGATTTACTGTTCACGGAGATTGTTTTATTTTTGATTAGAATTATTGCTATAACTTTAAATTATTATTCAGTTTTTGTAAAATTTATCCTGTTATACAATATAATAATTAATATAATAATATTATGCGTCATAGATTTTGGTAATATTTACTATTCGTATTTTGGTTATTGACTTATTGCTTTCTAGTTTGCAATAATTGATAATATGAATAAAATTTAAAATCGTATTTATGAAAATCTATAAATTTTAAAATTTAATTTGCGATAGGTTACAGCCGTAGTTTGGTAACGCATGCAGCGGCCCCGTCAACTAGTTAGCACGCGGCCCATCGGGAATTTCCCGATTTCCCGATGGCCCAATCCGTCCCTGATTATGTGTTCATGTGGGTATCATATCCTCTTAATGAATGGTTTCTTCTTCATATTTCGTGTTTTTTGTACATACTAGTTTATTGTTATTTTTTTAATGTTTTTTGTTGTAAACAAAATATATTTAAATAGATAAAATAAAACCATTCAAATGAAAGAAATATTCATAACTGAGATAATATATCAATAATTCCAAATTAAGAATAAACATACCACTTAATTATACAGTAGCAAGCAAAATATTACTAATTCTACAAACAAGTGTCTGAATTATTTGTTTTAAATGCGTATTTATAATACATCTCTACACTAATTTGCACATAAATGCTTGTTGGAAATATTTGTCTTGTTTAGTTATACACATATATCTAAATTAATTCAGCTTTATATGTTTACCTTAAACCAAATCAAAGATATGAAATACCTGCAGTGTAAGACAAGAATAGCCAATTTCTACAATTGGTAAGTTTATTTTTTCTCCAGGAGCCAATGTTTTTAATTCAGAATCACCTTGCATTAAACAATCCAAATTTACTGGTAGAGCATTGACTAATATAACTGTAGGATATAAATGAATATTATAGCAATTACTAGACATCAAATATCGATCAGTGTGTTCGAAATATATATGTTCCATATTTCCTAATAACTAATAATAAAAATACAATATTATTAATGGTATTTCAAACATATTTATAATTTATTTTACTTGTATAAAAAATGGGTCTCTGTCTTCAACTTGATTTGGTGGACACTGCAGCATTGCACGTATTTTCATAACTGGTTGGATATCTTTCCAAATAAAAGATTTAACACATATTTGATATCTAGAGATAAAAGTATTGATATAATAAATTGTCATTAAATATTTTGTAGATTCTTTTACTTTTCTGGACAAAATAATATTTCTTTGGTTTGTGAATAAATTGAATGAACGGGTAAATTGAATGGTTTGTTAGGTTTTGCTTTACCGATCATTTTCAATTTCCCTTGTTTCTTATAATAAAGAAATATGTTTTCATTGAAGTGATTATGAACCTACATTAATAAAATAGTAGTTATTAAAATGATCAGATCTTATTTCGCAAATATAAAAATTACTTGTACAACACTTCTCAGTGTTACAACCATGCTGCCATTAATTACTTGAGTGTCAGTTACTAATCCCCATGGTTCATTTACAGTACTTAATTTATGTTTAATATTAAAATATCTTTTGTCTGCCTTTATTAGTGGTAAACTAAATTCTGTAACATTATTGTTTTCTTGAATCTAAAAAGAAAATGTATGATTTTAAAATTCTCTTTTCAGATTATACTTATTAAAATAATTTATTCAAACCTTAATTTTTAAAGATCTTTCAGTTATTCTATTCTGACGTAAATGATCTGATACCGAATCATCATTTTTAAGACAAAGACTGATCTGTTCTCGATCTTTTAGAACAGTATTATCACCAACTTCATCACTGGTATTTGCATTATACAACTATGAATTTAAAAATTTAAATAATTTGAATATATAATGTAAAAAATTGTTAACATTCAATTATTACTTTAAATGGTGTATTTGATATCATAATAGTTATATCAAATCCAAGATTATTCTGCACTACGTATGGAGCTGCTTCAATTCTTTTCGAAAGTGGTATTTCTGCTGTAATTGCTTCATTAAAAGCTTTACCTAAACTGGTCAAAACTTCTAAAGCAGTTTTTGTCATAGTTATTTCAATAGTTTCCTGAAATTGAAAAAAAAAACAAAATTAATATTTGTTATACTCATGTCATCAAAACATTTACTGAGAAATCATACATATGATATCAAAGAAATTTTCATTGTTGGCTTCCTTTGAAATACTTCTTCTTGAGGACTTCGATTTTGGTCAAAAGTCTCCAACTAAAATATTTATTAAATTTAAATTATCATTTAAAATTATTTAAAGTTATATTGATTACCTTCAGTTCAAGTAACCATGGTTTATATTTAGTACTAATAGTAGATTCAACCTCAACAGGCTCAATAAATGGCTCCCAAAGAGCTAATCGGCTGTTATAATAATTCATTTGCATTGTCAATTCTCCTGCTACAGATAACTACAAAATATGAAGAATTTTTTAATTTAAAATAATCATCAAAATCATTGAATCACAATAAATGAATCATAGATTTATAACCAACTAAAATTATATAAAAATAATAGTCTAATTAATTAACAGGATTTTTAGCTTACCTTTGAGCTCCAATTATTTATAGAACCATTAAATGTACACTCGGTTAATAACATTGGCATTGTTTTAGTACCAATTCCTGCTTCAATGGTAAAAACTATAGAAGGAATAGATATAATACAAACTTCACTTTTCTTTAATACAGGTAATACATCATCTTTGTCTAAATTACTAGCTTCAACACCTAACTCTGAAATATTGTGGTAATATCAATTAGTAAACAATTTTTAATAACTTTGAATAATACACTTACCAGTTTTTAAAAACCAGAATTCTGAATCATTAAACATTGTTTTATTCCACAGATCTTCATATTTTTGTTCCTCATACTTTGGTTCTTCAGATAAATTTTCTTTTTTTTCAGTTAAACTTTGATTTATACGATTTAACATTTCAATATTAGCTGAGAAAAAAAAAATATTCTAGAAACTAAAAATTAGCTTAAATGGCTACATTAGAAAATGATTACCTGGTGTAACTGATATTATTAAAGGAGTCATTGTCACATCAATGTTAAGACAAGTATCATCAGGTGTTGAACCAATAACATTTATGGTGACTGGCCTTAATATCTATTTCATAAAAATTTAATATTATACACAAAAAAATTAACTTAAAACAAATTTATAAAAACACAAAATATTAATATTAACTTGATTCATTGTGTCTTTTCTTCTAATAGGATTATAGCAGCAAGAATATAATTGTAAATCTTTAATTTCTCCATTTATAGTTTGACGAGTTGGAGTAGACATGCGCAGTTTCAATGTGGCTTCAGTCTAGAATTAATTTATGGTAGTTATTAAGTTATTAATCTATATATTGTTAAAATATTACATTCATAATAATTGCATTTGTATTAATGTCATCCAAACTTTCAACCAATATAATATCAGGTTTTTCTAATTGTACTTTCAACAAAAGCGTTTTATTGTTTTCTTTTTGTTGAATGGCATTTGGTTTCTCTTTCTATAACATATTAGAAAAATGAACAATTTACCAAATTTGTGGTTTAGTGTATTTATTACTACCGTGATATTTTGTTTGGCATTCTTTATTACATCATTTGTTACTAAATCTTGATTTTGAGATGGCAATATAAAGAAATTCAACAGGTATTGAATATATTCCACATTAAATATTAAGTTAAAACTAAAAATGTTCAGTTGAACTAGAATATCAATAAGATTAGGAAATTAGTGATTTTAAAGGGATTATTAAAGATTAAAAATTACCATCAGATCCAGCAAGGGTTTGTTTGTATTTCATGTCAATAGTATTTTTCAAACTTTCATTTTCAAAATTACTCTTCTTTCTCTCCATATAACGTACTACCTTATTTCCAGGAGATTTATTTACTCGGGTGTCATCTAGTGTTACATCTAACAAATATAATGTCAGAGCTAATGAAAGATCTGTCTGCATAGATCCATCCACAGTTAATGAGGAAAACATAAATTGTCCCATACTATTATTCTTAATTTGTAAACCATTCTATAAAAATAAAAAATAGCCATAATCATAATAATAATAATAAAAATAATTTTTAAAATTAGATACAAAATATAATTAAATTAAATAATTAGTTTTATAATTATAAATCATGATGTTATTAAGAAAATATCAATCACTAGTGATAAAAATATGCCAACAAATAGTCACATACCAACTATGGCAGACAAGCTAACAATTTTGACTAGGGAAATTACCGTGAAATAAACCCACCCATTATATTATAATAATTAATAATAATTTTCGACTTTTTTTTAGGAAACTTTTAATTTAAAATTAAAAGGATGCTACAGACGCATGTATTGTCTCCGTCTTACAAGTGTGTAAATAGCAAATTTTACACTCAGCCGGTCATGTTTAGTTCTGTTAGTTTAAAATATAGAATAAATTGGCCTCTTATAAAAAAAAGATAACATTACTATCTAAGTTATCACATGAGATTTTATTTCATAGAGTAATAATATTATAAGATAAGTAATATTACTCTAAGTTTTATTTATATTTTAATTTTAAAACAATTTATCAGTATTTTTAAAATTGTAAATTGTTTGTATATCTTAAACTCGCTTTAAAATTAAAATATAATAAAAAGCCCACGCAATAACTTAGATAATAATGTTACCTTTAATTTTTATAAGACGTCAATTCACTCTAAATTTTAAAATGATGAAGCTAAATGTGACTGGCTGAGCGTAAAATTTGGTATTTACACGCTTGTAAGACAGAGACAACACATGTGCGTGTAGCGTTCTTTTAATATAATATAGTATGTTTAACGGATAAGTACGTAACTTAATTTTATGAAAACCTAGATTACCACACTTAAGTTCACTTTTCTAATAGAAAATATAATGAAATATAAAATCAAAGCCTCAAAAAGTGATGACAGTACAAAAAAAAAATTATTTTAAAAAACACCACAATAAAATCAATAAATTCATAGCACCGGTCAGAATATAAAATATTGAACATATTTTATGGAAACATTGACAGATAAAAGAACTCATGTGTACTATTTAGTGCCAGTTAGTTTTAATTTTGTAAAATTATAATCACTCATAAAATCTAAAATAAATAAAGCTGTTAAATTCTAATTATTTTGAGAATTAAAACTTACAACCTATAAATTAAACGATACATATATCAAAGTGTTAAATTTAATGAAAAGAGTTTAATTTATTAACTACCTTATCAGGGCCTTCTTTAAATAGCTCTAGTATGATATTTTTTACAGAAAATTCAAACTTTGCTAATGTTCTGATTTCTTGAGACTGGGATTTGTTTTTTTCAACATCGACAATTACTTTGATTTCTAATAAAAATAAAATTAAAATATGTAAGATGTTTTAATTTACAAAATTAAATATCAAAATTGTCAAGATATACAACAAACCATTTGAATTATTTTGAGATGTGCTTAAATATGGTTGATTATCAGGAGAAGCCACATCATCTTTTCCTTCATTCAGATTTTCATTTAATACCTTCATTACTAAAATGTAATCAATATGACTAACAGTTACCTATGACAGTTATAATGTGTTAACATTAAACAAAAAGTTTTATAGTAGGATATATATGAAAACTATTAATTATACTTTGATGGAGTCAAATTTAGCCACAATATCAAAATCTGGATGATCAGTATACCATGCTGATGACAAATTACGTTTTACAATAAGAGAAAATGTAATAGGTTGTAACAATAGACAGTCAAACACAAAATATTTAATAGCATCGTTCAATTTTACTCTGAAAATAATATGTTAAAAACACTTATTATACCTATATATTTTAATCTTATAAATAATCATACCTAGATACTTTAAGATTTTGTAAATTTAAGCTCAATTGATCAATAACTGCTGGAATATGATCAGTTCCTTTGGGAATAACCAAAAATGAGTTAGTAATAGATAAATATCCAAAATCAAAACATAATGCTTCCAAACTAAAAGAATTTTGTGGTACTACAATAACTGGAGCCTTTAGCAAAAATATAGAAAAGTTAATGAAAAAAAAGTATTAAAATAACTTATAAACATTAAAAAGGAACTTAAATACATACTTTAAGATTAATTTTAAGAGCAACACGAGTAGCAGATTTCACATTCATTTTAGCGGTAGCTACTGCAGCAGCCCCTGCTTCATAAACAGCAGCTTTTCCCGCTTGGAAATGATTTATAAAGCTCTGTGAGTAACAAATACATTTTTACAAACAACTTTATAATCTAGTTATTTTTTTAACGCTAAGTTTATTTAAAACATTTTATTTTTGATAAACTTATAACAAATACATATTTAATTAAAAGTAAAAAAATAAAAAATACTTACTAATAACTTGGTCGTAAAATGATTTAAAAATACACATTTTATACATCCTGATGAAATTGATATAAAAATTTCTGGTGAATCATAATCAATAAGATATTGTTCATTATACATGATCATTTTAAATTTGAAAGCTTCATCATTTTCAGCTACATGAATAATCTAAATGTGAAAGAGTTAAACTGTTTGTAAATCATAATATTAAAATAAAATAGTGGTTCTCAAAATTCTCAAAATTCACAAGCGAAATCGTACCAACTGCTAATATATGCTGTGTCCAGCGAGAGAACGCGCTAATTTTTCACATCCCCAAACGTCACCCTGCTATTGAAACTGGCTTCCCTATAGCTGGATGTCATGTGGGGATGCGTAGAAAAACCAAAATTTATTTAGCACACGGCCCGTTCTCGCGCTTAACAGACCATAGAAGTTTTTTTTTAATTCTGAGGAACATTTAATCTTATTAAACAAATTATATTAAAATTAATTAAAACTATATTTTTTAATTAATTTATATAATACTAGTTACTTACGTGTTTATAAATTGTATCTGATGATGGATCAAAAACACTAATATTTTGTAATTTAGCATCAACTTGAATATCTGATTTTTTAATTTCGACACATGACTCTAGTTTAGTTATAAGCATATGAGCTAAATCTTCAGCTTCAGATACAATGATAAGTTGTATTTCACCTATTTTAGCTACTAATTTTAAATCTTTGATATCTTTGTCTTCAGTTAATATTTTATTCACTAAATTTTTTTTTTTAAATCAAATAATAAATACAAATTGTTTATATACTTTATTTAAATGATATAATACGTACATTGTTGAACTTTACTTGCAGCAGATTCTTCAAGAATAGTTGACAATGCATTAGAAACTAAATGCATTCTTTTGAGTTTGTTAGGTTTTTGAACTTGCAATGAAGGTTCTGGGATATAATTATACTGTTTTTGCATGTTTGTTATATTAGAACTGACATTATTCATCCAGTCAAAAAAGTAAAGCAGCGCATCTCTATTGGCTGTTGCTAATAACTTAGTGAAGTTTAATTCAAGTAGTTGCAATACATTATCATTAGTATAAAATTCTGGAGAGTTTTTATCGACCTATAAAAATAAATTATTCAATACTAGTTTACCTTTTGAAAAATTATTAAATATAAAATGTGTACTCACTAGAGTATACTTCATAAGTAAAAGGTACTGGTTTTCATCTTCATTTGGTGTGTCAACTAAAGGTATGATGGTGTCTTTATAATACTGAGCTAAAAATAGTCTACCCAATTTCAAAGCAATATTCGTATTAAATGATTGTTGTGTTAATGACAGTTCTAGGGTAAGTAAATTAAAGTCTAATAATGGACTTAACCAAGAACCTTTATCATCATAAGATAATACTTTGATTGATAAACCTAGAAAAATGAAAAACAAGAAATAATATTTTTAAAACATACATTTAACACCAGTTAAAAAAACAAACCAGCTTAAATTTAAAAAAAATATATCATTAATTAAATTTTTATACATTAATCTTACGTTTAAGAACTAATTTAACATCTAATGATGTAAATTGCACATTTATATCAGAAGATTTTTCTGCTTCTTTTCTTTGACTGGTTAAATTTTTGGTCATATTGAATGAATCAATTTTTTGACGCAATGACATTGCTGAACCAAGTATATCAAAATCCTTAAGAAAAATAAATTTACAGATTTGGTTAAAAAAAAAAGGTTATAATTTATGTGGTATAATATTTATTTAATTTACCACAAAAAATGAGAAATATCTATTAAAATACTTACATGAGGGTTATTTTCTGATCCTTGAGTTTTTTTTGGTAAAGGAACACTTAAAAACACTGACAAAGCATCCAAAATTCGATTTTCTGTAATAAAATAACAATATACATGCTTGTATAATGTATATGTGTACAAAAAAAGAATAGACTAAGATAATTAAATAATATTATAACTAGTTAGATGCAAATATATTATTATATATATTATTTTACTATTAAATAATAAATATTTCAAATTCAATTATTTAATAATTAATTAGAAAACGTTCTATTATTATTGGTTACTTATGAACATCTGTAAGGCTCAAGTGCAATATGGGAAAATTAACATTAATTGAACTTAACTATACATTATACATAAAATGGTATTAATAGAGCTATATTATACATTACACATTTTTTAATAATTGTAATTTAATAATGACAAATTAGTAGTTTTAAACAGATTTCAATAATATATTAAGGAAACTTGCTCTATCAAAAATAAATATTATAATTTATAAGATAAATTAGGATTTTTAATTCATTACATTCTCTAGCAATACAATTCAAGGGATTATTACAGTCATAAGAACTACAATTACGTGGAGTTTAAAATATAGACATTATGTATATTTGACAGTATATTGAAGAACATTAAGTTTTAAAGAATTTAACAAATCTGRAGAAGATATATTGCTTTTTAATCATTTTATCATGAAACAAATATCCATAAATTTAGGATAAGTTGGATTGAAGATAAAAAACTGGTTACTGATCAATTTAAATTAATATATATATATATAAATTTTATTTGAACAAACTCAATAAATATATTATTTTTATTTTATTATTAATATTTTATTTTATTATTAATTTTATTAAGGGATTATTAGTCATAAGAACTACAATTACGTGGAGTTTAAAATATAGACATTATGTATATTTGACAGTATATTGAAGAACATTAAGTTTTAAAGAATTTAACAAATCTGRAGAAGATATATTGCTTTTTAATCATTTTATCATGAAACAAATATCCATAAATTTAGGATAAGTTGGATTGAAGATAAAAAACTGGTTACTGATCAATTTAAATTAATATATATATATATATAAATTTTATTTGAACAAACTCAATAAATATATTATTTTTATTTTATCACTTCTAAAAAACTCTTAATAAAATGTATTATTCACACATATTTTAGTAGTTGCATATTGAATTAATATATGTTACTGCTGATTAAAAAAGCCAAGTTTATTTCAAGTAAAGAGTTGGTTTGCTCAAATTACATATAATAATACATAAAATAGTTGTATAATGTGTTACTAAACCTACTAACAATGAAATAATAATCATTAATACTAATTTATTTATTGAAAAGTAAAGTAGAAAGTTGGAAAATATATAAGCTTTACCTTTACGCCTACTACACATTTAATATTGTTTTTTTAAACAATAAAATGTATGAATAAAAAGTGAAGCTATTTTAATTTTATATTCACCTGCAACTTTTATATCAATTGCTGGAAGTTCTCCAGTTACTTTCAGTAATGGCAAACGAGGATCATCTGTTATTAAACATTTTTCAACTTGAATAGATAACGTGGTTGGTTTCAGAATATAAAGTTCATTTTGAAACGATTCATTAAATTTATTTTTCCACTTGTCACCTTTATTAGCAATTAATATCTAAAAATAAACAAATTATAATTAATATTATTATTACATTCATTTTATTTTTAGTGTATATTTTCACCTACTTGAGCATTTTCTAATTCAATGTAATAGCGATCATAGCTACGATTGACTATTTCTTGTAAAACTTCAGATTGTGATGCTCCTTTTTTATGCATTGAATGTATACTTACTAAATCCTCAATAGTTTGTGGTTTGGATTTTATTTTTAAGCAACCTAAATTAAAAACCAATAAAGACTGGTTTCTATAAGAAAGAAAACTATGTTAGTTAATATTTTGATTTTTTTTAATATTGTAAAAAAAATTTACAAATGAAATGCTAATGGCCATATTTGTTGAAATAGAAATTTATGATTGTGGCTGATAAAAAAAATTCTTACTTTCTGTAAAATCCACCATGCGGTATAACAATGTAAGATGGCATCATATCAATCTTTAATTCAAGTCTTTTATGTTCTTCTATGATATGTTGCATACCTAGAGCAGATTTTTCTTTGATCTCAGCTAATTTTGTACCAGCTGCTGCTTGTAATCTTCGTAATAATAAAAAATAATAATATTATAAATTGAAATGTAAATATGCCCAATATATATCACATATTATTTTGTTATTAACTATTAAAATATTAACCAAATAAAATGTATACTTAACATACTGTGTTGTAACATTTGATTGTTGTGTTGTAAATATATTTATAATTTTAATTATTGTTTGGGCATCATAGACCATTTTTAAAGGTCTGAATGACATTATCACCCTACTATCACAGCTCTGATCAAGAGGATTTGTTTCAAACAACAAACTGAATAAATACTTTTGTTTGTCAATGGTATCTTGATCAATATTTTGACTACATGCTAAATCCTGAGCGCTCTTGTATTGATCAACTGATTTAGAGATAATAAGTTTTGGTATAGTATTTAATTGTTGTAAACCTAATACTGATAATGTTTCTCCAGAAGCTTCCACTCTAGAATAAAAATCATAATATTTTGTTAATAAATGAAATATATAAGTAAATAATTGTATTGTAATACTTTATAGCATTAGCTGTTAATCTTCTTTGAAGTTCCAATGAAAATTCTTTAAAGCAGATTGTCAACACTTTTTGAGTAGATGTAAATTCTTCGTCAAACACAGAAATTTCAAATGTATGTAAACAAAATTTAAATATTGTGTCTACAAATGTTTCGGGGTATATGGTTGTAGCTGAACTTTCTTGGTAACCTATTGCTTTATATAATTTTTCTTTTTCACTCACATTCATAACTTCTTCAAATTGCTTAACTGAAATACAAAAATAAGTTAAAATAAGCATTAACTTTTAATAAAATCATAAATTACTTATATCTTTTTCTTTTTCCTTATCATCATCATTTTTGGAACGCCAAAAACTAAACCAGCCTCGTTCTGATTCTACTTTTTTTATTTCTTCTTGAATTTTTCCTTCTCTTTCCACCTGTAAATACATACATATACATATATATAAATATAAACACTTAACATTTTCATAGATCTAAGAACATGAAAATGATTAATTAAAACATATGTATAGAGTACAGCATTATATGGCAGCAAAACATGGACATTGAACAAAAAAGAGAAAACCACTCTAGAAACTTTAGATACGTGGTGTTGACGTAAAATGAAAAAAATAAAATGGACAGTAATGAAGACAAACGAAGAAGTTTAAGATTTAGTCAAAGAAAAAAGAACATTGCTAAATAATTTAAGATCAAGGCGTTGGAATATGATAGGCCATACACTAAGACACAACAAAGAACTCCATAGCATCATATTGGAAGGTATGATTGAAGGGAAACGCGGAAGAGATAGGCCAAAAACATGTTATATAGGTCAAGTAATTAAAAATACAAGAGTCAATTCAAACAAACAACTCAAAGATAAAGTTCAAGAGAGAGAATCGTGGAGAAAATTTATTGTAGACCAATCTACGGATTGAATAATAAAAATAATAAAAATATTTTCATATACTAAATTTAAGAATTTTAAGAGTAAATTTTTATTATTGATGACAACATAAATAATGATAGCTAAATTTTATAAATCATAAACATTTATAATTTATAAATTTGAGCTACTATGTGTCTATTGTTATGTATAGAAAATAACAATAAAAATTATTTTTAAACAACACAAAAAAGAACAATTCAAAACATATAACTCTAATATTTAACATTATATTTTAGGAAAAAATAAGACAAAGGAGAAGATATTTAAAGAATATTACTATGTACATAAGATTCTTACTATATTTTCTACTCTTTGCCTGGCCAAAATAATATTCATCACATCTAAATTATTTTCCAATTCAGATATTCTATTCAATGTTGTGGTTGACGGTTTTTTTGATTCTAGTTTTTGTCTGTAAAGAATACTATACTCTTTTATTAATTTTCTATGTGAACTCATATGAATCCAATCCCAATTTCTATGGATCCTTCTTACATCTTCTTCCAATACACATTTATATGCAAATTTCCACCTAAATTTAACAAAAAACACAATTAAATAAATAAAAAATCATTTTATTAAAATAATATATATACAAATAATAAGTGCAATAATGATATGCTGAAAAAAAAACATTAATATTTAAGTTATCTATAAGTTTATAATAGTTAAAATTTTACAGTTTGTATTCATCATATTATTAAAAAAAGGTTTTAAACTGCAAGTAAAGATGCTATTAAATGAGAAAGAAGAACGGATAAATTAGTTACGGATAAAAGATAAATAGTAGAGCTGTTAAATATCATTTTGAAATACTATTAAACAGACAAGGATAAGATAGCACAAATGAAGTACATGACGTACCACACTATGGAACCTGACATTGGAGAACCCAAACAGGAAACAGTAGCAAGGATAATAGAAACACTGAAGAACAACAAGTCACGGAGCAAAAACGAAATTCCAGCAGAACTACTAAAAAAAAGGTGGAAAAGACTTAATAAACACCTTATATGGTATTATTAATGAAGTATGGAAAAGAGAGACTATGCCAGAGGAGTGGAATACAGCAATACTACGACTCATCTTCAAGAAGAGAGATCCAATGTTAGTGTCAAATGATAAGAGTATATCATTATTAGACACAGCTAACTGGAATGAATAAACCCATATGCAACAGAGATCATCAGGGGAATACCAATGCGGAGAGAATCGAAGGTAATTCTATACACAAGTTACTTAAAACCTGTGTTGATATATGGATGTGAGATGAGGGCTACTATAAAAGGCGATTACGTTAAGTTATGTACAACAGAAAGAAAAGTGCTCGGAAAAATATTCGGCCTAGTCTAAAATATAGAAATGAGAACATACGAAAGAAGACATAATAATGATTTATAAAGTTTATATGGAAGACTAAATATACTATTGTTTAGCAGAATCAAGAGGATAGAATGGGCTGGAAATGTTTGGAGGACAGAAGGAAAAATTACAAACACAAGTTATGGAAGGAAGAATTGTGAAGAAAAGACCTATAGGAAGACCCTAAACATGATGTAAGGATTTAGTAGGAAAAGATCTTAAAATGATTCATGAAAACATAAAAATGGAAGATTGCGAATGATAGGATCCGATGGAATGAGATAGTGGTGGCAGCGATGGACCCACATAGACCGCTAAGCTGTTGAGAAGAAATTGTATAAATTAGTGTTATTTGATAAAATTATCATCTGGTATCTTAGTATATACATACATACATTCTGAAAATTACCATTTGGTAAAAGTTTATATTTATTTTAAAAAATTGTACTCATTAAGTAATAAATATTTATAATAATATAGTTTGTTTTTAAATATTACCATTCTTTGTAGTTTCCTTTGTATTCTTTAACTAATGGTCGGTATTTTCTGTAAGGCATTGCTTTAGTCAAACGATCTAAAGATTCTGCAGCCATAATTAAATGTTGATATTGAGTTTTACTAATTCCTAAAACACAAAATAATACTATATGAATATCTTGTTTAAAATAAAAAACCAGTTTATCTAAAAATATTGAATTTACTTATGTTTAAGCTTTCCATGTCAATAAAAATAGAATATTTTGGTATTTTATAATCACTGCCATCTAATTCTGGTTTTGGATTCATTTTCATTTTAGCTTTAGCGTTAATTGGACCCAATACTAAAATAATAAGTCATATTTTTAATAATTATTAAGTAATTAAAAAACCAATGTTAATATAAACAAATATTTATTTAATAACTAACAATATTCATAACCATCAGGGAGAACATCTTTCTTTGGTATTCCATTTATGAAAGAATCATTGTATGTTTCTCTTGGTTGTTCGGTGAATAAGTTACCTTTAGAATTCCAATAAACAGCATACCCTTCCATAGAGATAATCTATATAAATATAATAATAAATTACAAACCCTTCAAAAATAAAAGAAAAGAATGGAGGGGGATTAAGGTAACAATGTATCTTAACTGGCAACCATAAAATTTACATATATGCTGTTATTTATAATAAATTTTCAAATTATAGAATGTTTTGGTACCTGACAAATGGCAATTTTACGGTTATTATACCTATTTACCATTGTCATATTAAATTTAGATATTTTGACTACAGAAGTATTGGGATAGTTGATATATCAAGAGAACCATAGAATTGATTAACAATTAATGATCACAATAAATCAATTATAAAGACACCAGCTTGTCTTTCAATTGCGTAACATTGCAAACTTATATTCACCAGTTCGCCCCTAAGTTTTTCTAGTTTTATTATAAGAGTAAATTGATCAATTGTCAAAAAAATCATAACTGTGCCATTGGTTGAACTCCAAATGCCTTAATACATTAACATACCATAAAATAGTTGAATGCATATACAAAATTATAACACAGGCATTGGTTTAACTTGTGATCTACTGATTTTTGGTAATCTAAATGTCAATGTTAACGGTATAAAACAAAACAGTAACAAAATACAAACATTATAATATACATTATTATCAATTATACTTCTTGAAATGAAATGTACCTACCTTAAAAATCATTGCTAGAGGATCTTGACCTTTATCAATAAATCTATTCCAATTTGAATCAGTTGAATGAGAAGTTATATCATAAAGTGTACAACCAAAAGAAAATGGATTATTAGGAAACGTTACTCGGTCTTCATATCTAATATGGATTGTTTTAATATTGACTTGCACATTTCTGATAATCTGTGTAGCCAACTTTTCAACAAAAGAATCTTTTACATTATCTTGATCTATTTCTAAAAAAATAATTATAAAATATTAAAATGTATTAATAATAAATTAATGAGTAATATACATTTCAAAACTATATAATAAAATATCAATACAAATGTAATAAACTATGAAATGATTGAAATGTATTAGTTTATGAATCACCATTGTAAAACTAAATGAATCTATACAAATGATTTATATTAAAAATATTTTGGATTAAGTAAGGTAATATTATAGAATTTCTTATACATTTTAACTTCAACACTTATAGAAAAAAAATTGTAGATGTATTTTCAATATTTTTTAATTTACAATTTATATTAACTATAACCTAGAAACAAAAATTAATCAAACATGAACTTAAAAAAAAAAGCTGGAAAGTGGATGTCGTTCTGCTGTACAGTAGGTTACAAGTGGGTTACTGTAATGGATGGAATTAAATTTGAATCCAATGATATTATATCATTGTATAGGAAAAACGATTCTGAGCGAAGACGGTTTATCTGTCTAGGATATAGTATAGATTTTTAAAAATTTTCAAATCTTAGATTTAAAATAAAAAATTTTAATGAATTTTCTAGTTTAAAATAATTTGCGAATTTTCATGATTTCTACGTATGTTGTCAAAATTAAAATTTGATTGCTTGTAAAAAAAAATTGTGACTATGTATTTTTTTTATTTTTCAACTGCTATTGTAACAATATGTTAAGAGCCTTGCATTAAATTCTCAAGCTTTTCTTCCTAACAAATACATTTTTATCAATATTAATTTAAAAAAAACTAATAATGATCAAAAATTGCAAATGCCTATAAATAGTTCAACTTAAGTTGAAAATTTTTAAAAAATGCTAGGTGGACCCCTCAAAGTACCAACTAGATTCACTTTCTGATCGAGTAAGGTACTGAAGTCAAAAATCGAAGCACTTTTACTGCCCCAAAACGTGATGACAGAAACAAAAAATAAATAAATAAATAAAAACACACATCATGATAAAATCAATACATTCAATGCTCCGCTCAGAATCTAAAAAAATAAGTAAAAAACTTCAACTGTATAAGTTTGGAAAACACAGATATATAGTATTCTAAAAATTATAAAAAATATCTATTTTAGTATTTAGTAGAAATTTCAAGTCCACGCTGTTTATGTTTGAATAACAAAAAAAAATTGATATCTAACATTGATTTTGCATAATATATTTATGATTTTCTATTGTTTTATTTTTATTTTTTCTAATTATTTTTAAATATTATTTAGCATTTTATCATTAATGTTTAAGATTGAATCATTTTTACAGCTTCAAAATGTGGTAGCACACATGAAAAAATAAATAAACAATTTTAACACCAATACATTCTTCACTCTCTTCAAAAACTTAGATTAAGTTAAAGGGATTGGTGATAAAGAATTTTTAAGTAGTTTGAAATAATCGATTTTCAAATTACATGCACATGGGTCTTGTAAATGTATGCAAAAAAGAAAGTGATCATTAGTATGTGACTGTATGTAAAAGAAATAGTGAATTACATAAATCATCCTAACTCATCCCCCAAATTATAAATATATAAATATTATGAAACATTCAATGTCACAATAAATTAACAGCTTGGTAATGCTTAATAAATTGTTTGTCACAAATTATCATTTAATAGTATTTAAACATAAATACTTTATTTTTAAGTTGATATTCTGATTACTGCACTTACTATTTTTTTGTTGATCCAACAGCTTAATATTTTCTATTCTTGAAATTTCATTTTGTTTTGCTGTCTGCTTGTTTTTCTCTTCTTTTTCCACATCATATGTAACATCTTGTGTTGGAACCACAAGTAAGAAAAGACTATCAATGGATGCTTCTACTGAACCACTATATAGATTTTTCCATGGTATTTTTAAAACCAACTTGCCTAAGTAACAAACAATAGCAATAAAAACTTAAAAATAAAATAAACAACAACAACACCAACTTAAATAAGTTCTTAATACAATAAAATTTAATATAATATTATAAATATTTAAAATTACCAAGATGCCCATAAATAGTTCTGATTGGTAGATCTAAACTATCTAAACATGTTTCTTTTAGTTTAAGATCTCTTAAAACAACATCTCCTACAACAAACATTCATTATTATTTATAACATATAAATATTAAATATTATAAGTATTAGGCATTGAATATATTTATAATTCTTTATTAAACCATTGCAATTTATCTTATAGTTGTATGCATTAAATATTTATACATAATTTATAAATATATTTTAAACTCAACCACAGTCATGAAGGCTACTAATTTCACTGATTTATTAAGAATGATGTCATAATTTTATGTCAGTGTTAAGAAACATTACAGTGCATATACTACAGTGTACATTAAAAGCAGACCCTAGGAATAATATAAACAATCACTTTTGGCTTTCTTAAATCAAAATTATGGATTTTTAGAAAAACAAAGACAGATTAAAAGGATAGGTAATTGATTTTTGACAAAACCAGCAAAATAAATCCTGCACTGCCATGTCCAGTCTATTTAATGTGTATAAATCAAACAGACTTTTATAGCATTTAATAATAAAAACTATAGAAACAAATAATTAGGTATAAAAATAGTTTTTATAAAGATAAGAATTATTTAAAGAGAAAATAAATTTTAACACTATATAATTAGTTTTTATTGATAATATTTAACACAATCTTTAATGTTACATATTTATAAAAATTATCAACATGTTTCAGATATCATAAATGGACTATTATTTAGGTACTACAATAACAATAATTTAGAGTAGTATAATAATATGGGTGTGACTGAAATGTTAAATAAATGAATGTGATAAAAACAATAACATTTATTACTTATTAGAATTAATAAAGAAATACTATCAACAAGTCAACAAGTAAAGTAAAATATATAATTGGCATGTCTCATACATTTGGAATTTTGGATAAAAGTGTAATATTTTTGAGTATACCTAATGGGGTATAAAGTTACACTTTTTCATTTCAATAATGTTTTTAGAATTAAAATAAATTAGGTAACACAATAGTTTTTTTTACATAATATATTATTTTTATTAGGTGTAATCAAAATATATAACATAAAAAAGTTTATAATCAAGCATAATATAATAGCTTGATATTAATTTATTTTTTCAACACAGTGAATAATAAAGCCATTAGGCAGTGAAACTTTATATGAATGATGGTTAAAGTTAAAGTTTGATAGTCAATAGATTATATTATATAAACAGATTATTTTCAGGACTTGAGAATTTAAAATTATCAAAATAAATTGAATTACATAGTGCTAATCAAATAATATTGTAATTAATTATTAAGACTTATTTATTATTAGGTAAAAAAATAGATAATTTAATTGAGCGATCTTAAACTTTAAAATCACTACCTTTTTCCCTGTTAAAATCAAAATCACTACCTATCATAAATGATAAATTTATTATATAAAAATACCTATTCATCTGAATAGAAAAATATTCTTCATTCATAGAAATTATTAAGAATGTTGAATTGTTAATATATAATAATAATAATAATTGTATAAATGAAAATTCATATAATAATCAACAGATTATTTTTACATGTTTCAGAGCTAAAAATAATAATATTATTAGAAAAATAACAAAACAAATCAATCTATCAATCAATTATATGGATGAATTTTAAGACAAAATTATCAATGAAATATTAGCAAGTGTTTTAATCCCAAATACTAACACAAAAATGAAAACATTTAAAAAATATTTTAAATAAATAGTGTTAGCCATTAGGTACTTCAATTTAAATTTTTAACTTTTGAAAGCAGCTTTATAAAAATAAGGTCCTTCAAAATTAAACAAACAAAAAAGTAATGTGGTTTCTCAATGTTCTAAATATTTTTGAAGTAGTAAAATAGGTAAATAATTGTGTTTTAAGTTAAAAAGCGTAACAGAATGTTTATTTTTACTTAAATCAATTTATTTAAAAGTGCACTAATTTATACTCACCGCCCCATATTCCAATATTCAGCTGAGAACTATCTAAATTTTCGACATATTCACCAATGAACCTGTTGAGCACATCAGCCACCAAAGATTCAAATACCATGATTACAAATGATCTCTGAGATTATTGATTAAAATCAAAAATTGTAAGACATATTGTAACTAAAAAATACAAAAACGGTAGTATTTAAACATACATATAATTTAACATAAACCTACAATATATTAAACGATTTAACTCACATTAGTACATTAATATAGTATGGGATATAAGTACCTACATGTGTATTAATTATTAAATGAAATGAATATACTACGTTAGTAGAAATCTATGATACAAAATTAATGCAAGTTTCAAAGTTTGTCGTTTGATGACACAATCACATGAACATAAAATTTTAATCTATGAATTATGGTGTACGATGGAATAATGAAACTTCGTAATAAAATAGATAACGGTAGATTAAAAAAAGTTTTTATCAGTAGTTAGCATAAACCAGTGGTTCTCAACTTTTTTGGGTTTGTGTCACCGTCATCCACGATAACTCAATAATACCACGTCTCCTTAACATCATAATAATAAATGTTTAATAAATAAGAGCTGATACAGTACTCTTACGACCCCTACATAGGATCTATGTCACCCTTAGGTGAAATTTCACCCCGATTAAGAACCCCTGGCATAGATCTATTAACTTGTAAATTATTGTTCCGTGATGGTAGACGGTAGTTAGCATAGTAAAGTTAGTAACAATATTTTAAGGTAACATTGCCAACCTTATATTGAAATTGAGACTTTCAGTGCTTTGATGCTTTTGACTTTTGACTTTTGAGTATATAATTTGAATAATATGACGTGAAATACTGTAAACTATAGTATAACTATTTATATAATCATCATCGTCATCACCATAGATCATAATATTTACCATGACTATACTAAAGTTGTACCATATTAGATACCAATTAGTTATAAGTTTATATTTATTACTTTATTATTTAAATTAAATTGCATTTAATTTTCGTAAACTTAATACGTAATTCTTACCATTTAACATTGTAGATGATATTAAATATTTTAAATACTAATTAGAGGTCCTCGCCAATAGAAAAAACATTAATATTATTTCAACGTTTATTTTATGCCAATGATTACAATAATATTGATAGTAGCCAGTTACCATTATGGAATAATAGAATCATAACATGTCATCCTGGTTCACGAAATAGAAAAAAAAAATTTATCTCAATAAAAATCATTAAATTTGACTTTTACCGGTCCTAAAACATCCTAAAAGTCACTATATTTATAGCTTTTGCTACTTAGGCGTATATTAATACTTAACCAACACCTAACCTGGACAAACCAGATAAAAATTAAACGTATCCTCATAAACACTATAGGCAGAAACGCTATTGATGCCTATCTGGTCATGTCGGCATCTAACTATGGGGGCAGCCAAACATCAAATATAACTTAAATTCAAAACTTCCAATCCGTAACTCTTCGCATAATTACAAACGCCCCATTCTATGTTTCAAATTACACTATTCATACTAACCTGAGAATTAACATAGTAAATGAAAATGCGTAAATACCATTCAAACGTTTCCGCTCACGAAGTCACGACTAACTAATCACCCGAATTCCCTGATTTCTGCACTTATATCTGACGCCATTCCTGATAATCCCCTTCGAAGGCTTTTTATTATATTTTAATTTTAAAGCAAGTAATGAGTATTTTAAAATTGTAAATAATTTTTATATCTAAAAATACTCATAACTCGGC